TGAAACAGTCTATTCAAGTAGAGGACAAGGAGAAAGAACTAGAATTCTTCAAATCATACCTAGTAGGATTTTACTGGATCTTGTTTACCAGCAAGAATGGCAAGGCTTCATCTCTTATACTTTGGTCATGTCTGATAACAGGAGGGACCAGTCCCTGGAGAAGGATATCATGCTTGGTAAAGTAGGTCGGTGAAAGAGAAAGACCCTCAACAACAACATGGATTGACATAGCGGCTGCAACAATGGGCTCAAGCATAACAACAATTGTGAGGATGGCATAGTATGGGACAGTGTTTCTGTTGTACATATGGTTACTGTGAGTCAGAACCCACTCAACAGCACCTAACAACAACAACAGTTTACCAATGATAATGTAAGATATTGTAGTACATTAGTGCAAAAACATTAAATACTAATTATTAATGTTCTTTACTTGTAAATGTCAGTTAATAAAGGATTCTAGGTAAAACTAAACCAAACACACTGCCATCGAGTCAGATCCAACTCATAGCAACCCCTCCTTGGGTTTCCAAGGCAGTATCTCTACGGAAGTAGATTGCCCAACCTTCCTTCTGAGGAATGGCTGGTGGGTTTGAACCTCCAGCCTTCTGGTTAGCAGTCTAATGCCTTAGGCACTGCACCACCAGAGTTTTTATTATAAATTCATGCTTCCAAATGTTTTAAGAACTAAAAAAAAAAACCCTTTTCTCCTTCATATCTAGTTTAAATGATGCTAAGCTTATAAAATTAATTATTATAAAACAAATCAAGATTAGATTTATATGCACAGGGATTATATATTAATTTAGGTTTGATTTCAAGGACTTCTAAAGTTCAAAAGATGAATTCAACTTTCTTGAACATTGCCCGAAATTCCACCTAGAAATTTATGTTTTTGAATTAAGCTTATTAAATAATTAAGTTTATTGATAGGTTCTGGAGGAAAGCTCATTAAGTCTGTAGTCAGTCATTAATTAAAATCATTCATATTTTTAGAATATTTTCTAGAAACTGCACTAAACCCAAAAAACCAAACTCACTGCCATCGAGTTGGACCGACTTATAGAGATCCCTCCTTGGGTTTCTGAAGGTGGTTATCACTATGGAAGTAGATTACCCAACCTTCCTTACGAGGAGTGGCTGGTGGGTTTGAACTGCCAGGCTTCTGATTAGTAGTCAAATGTCTTAGGGACTACACCACAGTATTTCCCAGAAACTGCACTAGGTGCTTTTTAAATATAATCAATTATCTTTACAACTAACAAAACAAACAAACTCACTGCCATCGAGTAGATTCAACTCATAGAGACCCCTCCTTGGGTTTCCGAGGTGGTATCTCTATGAAGTAGCTTGCCCAATCTTCCTTCCGAGCAGTGGCTGGTGGGTTTGAACCTCCAGCCTTCTGGTTAGCAGTCAAATGCCTTAGGCACTATGCCACCAGAACTCCCCATCTTGACAACAATCCTACCTAAAACCAAGCCAAATACACTGCCATCAGGTTGATTCTGGCTCATAGCAACCCTATAGGACAGAGTATAACTGCCCCATCAAGTTTCTGAGGCTTTAAATCTTTAGGGAAACGAACTGCTCATCTTTTTCCTGCTGAATGGCTGGTAGGTTTGAACCACTGACAGTTTGGTTAGCAACTGAATGCCTTACCCACTGCTCTACCAGAGCTCCTTAGTCCTGCCTAGTAGGTCATCTTCCCATTTCATAGTTGAGAAAATTAAGGGAAATAGAAATTAAGTTACTAAGGTGTAAGAAAAAAGGTCTAGAATCAAACTCAGGTCTGTATTTCCTCACTCCAAAGCTTTAGCAATTTCCTACGGATATTGGTTTCTCAGTGCACCTTCCAAAACAAATCTCTTGGGAAGGAGATACAAATATGTGAGTTAGAAGGACCACAAAAACAAAGTTGAACAATTCTCATGGTTTCACAAAGAACCAACACTGAGCAGATGTTAACTTCTATCAAGTCCATGTCTGAATTACCACGCCTTCTCCACTCTTGACATCCAAACCCATGAGATTTGATGGTGTTTTTCATTGATCTTGCAGGTTTTATTTGGTGACAAGATGTTCTACCCTCATACATTTTTCAACCAATTTATCGCCACCAAAATCTGCAACCAGAAATTGTTCCATCGTATTTGCAGCAACTTCCTGTTTACTGTGAGTGGATTTGATCCAAATAACTTAAACATGGTATGTGTAAGTAGTTGAATATAGGAAAGCAATTGTTTTGATGCACAGAGGTGACGAGAGTTCATTCTGGATTGCATATAAACCACATTTCACAGTTTCTTTTTTAGTCTCCTGGAATCTAATTAGTATTTTCATGACTTCCAACCAGGGCTGAGATTCTCCCTGCTTTAATAGGAGGATTTAAGGAAAAGGCTTTGCCACTACAAATTCTCACAAACTATTGCCATTGACAAAGATGCAACAATGCAAAAGTCATTCATTTGGATTAAGGCCATTGTTTTAAAACTTCATCTGGTATTTGTATGTTCTGTAAGAATTCCCAGGTGTATAGTAGAGCTGACAAGGGACAAGTTTGTAGTCACTTCCTGGTCATAGCCAGCTACCCAGATGGAGCGAGTAGTTGAACCTGTGGACTAGGGACCATAGTTGCAGGGGACATCAAACTCAATTCATAACGTACTGCACAAAACATTGTTCCACCTCCTACTTTGGCGAGTAGCGACTGGGATCTTAAAAGCTTGCAAGCAGCCATCTAGATGTAACGATGGGTCTCTCTTCATCCAGAGCAAAGAAGAATGAAGAAAACAAAAGACTCACGGGAACAATTAGTCCAAGTGATGGGTACACCATGCGATC